AAAAATACAGCTATGGGATTTAATGTCCGCGTCATCAATGTCATTTTCTTAGAAGAAATAGAGTTTGGTTACCCGCTTAGTAGTTCTAATTATCCTCCTCAAATGATGATCCTGAAAGACACAACATCAGAAGAAAAATGAACAATGCAATCAAGGTCATATATCAACTTACTGACCGATAAGAGATTACACTTAAGCAAATGTACATATGTCAACAATGCAATCAAAGTCATATGTCAGCCTAGCTTCTAGTACAACCGACCCTTTACCCGCATTAGAATTATAGAAGTCGTTGACAATTTTAATAGTGCCTCGCCCAAAGCATGGAGAATATGTCAAGAAGAATTGAGAGCACCTGGTCATGAATTTCATGGCTCCTGAATCAATAATCCACGGACTAAAATAAGTAAAAACAGTGAGTGTCATATAAATGTTACCTTGATGGATATGGGAGGTCGACGAGTTGGAGAAGAACTAACTAGATCCAAGCAACCTAATTAACTCTTCCATCTGAGTCTTGATGGAGCCTGATGATTCGGGGATGGTTCGCGTGAGAGCCAATTGTTGTGGATTATGAGGTCGTAGCGAGACCTTTAGCAACAAAAAAATTGGTTGAAGTTTTATTTGTCGGCTTCTTGTGGAGCTTCCAACACTTATCAGGGGTATAGTAGAATGTGTGACAAAAATCACACGTAGAGTGTGGAGCATCATGATTGGTGCGCAATGGTGTGGTAGAGTGTGGAGCACTGTTGGAGACCAAATCTGAAGAATCTGTTGAATTAGTGGATTTACCGAGTATGTCAAGTCTTCAAATTTCTTTGCGACAGAACATGGTGAATGCTACCTGGGCTGAAGGAAGAGGATCACGGCCAAGTATAAGACCGCGGATTTCGTCAAAATCTTTGTTCAGGCCAGCCTTAAACTAGAACATATGATCCTTCTCCAAATTTTTTTGGAAGAGCGAATGATCCATGGGAGAGTCCCACGTGTAGTCATAGTAGGGGTCACATTCCATCCATAAGACAGCCAAATCGTGGAAGTACTGTGTCACTATCTTAGATCCCTGTTTTGTCTCGCTAATCTTATTAGAAACTTCATAGAGTTGTCCATAATTCCCTATGTCCGAGTATGTATCTCTCGAATAGCGGTCCAGAAGGCATGGGAAGATGGAATAAACATGTATGAACGATAAATTGAGGTTTCCGTGGAATTAATCAGCTATGACATAACCATGGAGTTCTCCACTTCCCATGCTGCATATGCTAGGTCAAACTTCGGAGGTTTACTAATCATACTTGTGAGGTGGTCGAATTTATCCCGACCTTTGACGAACAACGAAACAGCTTGAGACCTGAAGGAAAATAGAGTTATTGAGTTTGTGAGGGGTAACTAGGAAATTCATGAGGTTGTCTTGTCTTATGGTTTGCGAAGGCATAGAGATAGGCGTCGATCCTCCGATGGACTAAAGGACAACGATGGATGAAAGCACTGTAGTGGATGAATCCGCCATGACTCCAACGGAGCCAAAGGTGAGGTTTGGGTGCCTAGACATAGACGTAGACGGTCCCGTATGTAGCTGACAACAAAATAGGGCCTGCAAAGGAAGATTCCAGCCGGCGGGAGGGAGGTCTTGTAGTTGGAGGGCTTGCAAGGAAGAGATCTGGCTACAAAAGAGAGGATTGGAGGCGGGACAAAGGAGCGACCGACGGAGAGAGAGCCTGCAAGAAAGGGTATCAAGGTTGAAACTTGCAGGAGAGGCAGGGGAATCTGACAGCTGAAAAACCTATAGGGGAAGGCTTGGAGAGAGGTTCTGGCGGCTAAGGTAATGCCTGATGGCTAGGGTAAGATATGTGGCTCTGATACCATGTAGGTTTTGGGAATTAAGTAGGAAATTATTATTGCTATTGAAATGGGTATAAATACAGAAAATAATGATTACAAAATAAGAAAAATATAACGCTCAAATCTCTCCCTAATAATTACTACATGATAAAAGAGAAGTCATAAACTAGGAAATATAACAAACAGGAAATAACCGTAAAAGAAACTAAATAATTTCTAATATGGACTGGAGAGCCAATGTGTATTTATAGGTGTCAGGAGGTCAAGCCGACGGAGGGAAGAATTAGCTCCCACAGATCAATCAATCGATCACCGTTGGATTTTTTCGGATCGACGTCGACTGGAGCGGGAACATTGGAGCTCTCACAGATCGCCGACAGTCGAAGGGATGCAATAAATCGTCAACGTATTGTTAGTGGCATGGACATGCTGCCTGGAAGTTCTAACAGATTGGTCACGCCGCTTGACGGCGAGACTACGTTGTCAGAAGGCATGCCGACTTGTAGCGTGGTTAAGCCATTAGATGGGGCTACTCTGCATTGCAGCTTTGCTATGCCATGGGACGAGCCGCACCGCCTCGCAACATGGTTACACTGATAGAGGCCTCAGACAATGCGAGAGCGGGCACGCCGTGCTTGCGGTGTGGGTGCGCTAGAGGACCTCTAGGTCCGCCGGGGGACTAAAATTAGGGGGTTTTGGCAAAATGGCAACCCCGGGCCATCTGGAAGAGAAAAACTCAAGGAATACATTGGTGGAATTGATTTTGGTCAAACTGGTCCCCAAGTTGATGGTGTGCTCAAGGAATACTTAAGGCTTCAAAATTGAAACCAAAGACTAAAAAACTTATGGCTTGCTCAAAAAAATGAAATAATGATGAATTAGTTTCAAATTAGACATGGCATGATCCACAAAGGGATAATCCTTAAGGTTCAGAACTATTAAACTGCCTAGAAATTTAAATCTGAGATAAACTACTTGAAAATTTAAATCTGAGATATCAAAACATAAAAAAAATCATAATAAAATGCATCATATGTTCACCATCACAAGAATATCAACCATATCCAAGCTCTATATGAAGAGATAAGGTACTTTTAAAAGAGAGGTCAAGTGATGGAACACCATAGAGAAATTTACATTCATAGCACACAATTCTCATGTATTTACATATCTCACACCAAAAATTTCACATTTACATACATAGCACTTTGGTACTTTAAACCTATGCCTGAAAAGGTGCAAGTCGCTTTTAAGAAATGGAAATAGTGCTATCTTTGATGTGATATTAAGGATTTGGGTGCTATATGTGTAAATATGAAAGTTTAGGTGTGAGATATGTGAACACATAATAGATGTGTATGTATGTAACCGCCCCAAAACAATATTTTCTTTTGTGATTAATTAGTAATTTTGGGATAAAAACTGATAGGTCAAACCAAAACAATCAATACTAGGCTAAACTATCAGGAGATGATATTAGTCTCCTAAGCCAGGAGATACGTGAAAAATAATTATTGCAAATAGCTATAAAATATCCCTCCAACGTCGCCAAGGAATATTGAAGCAACCAAACTTAATCCATTCTATTGTTAGCTTATGAAATCACATGGAGCGGAATTCTACAATCCCACGTACAAAGGATCAGGGCTGGAACCTGTCCTGTGACTTCCAGCCAGGATTTTTCCGGCCTTTCTGCAGACCTGCGGGCCCAATTTTTTTATATTATTTGAATTAGGAATCAGGGTTTTATTAACTCCAAGCATGATAAATATATCGTAAGAAATCGATTTTGGAACATTTTTTGCTTAGTTTATGTTATTGGAGACTTTTCTCATCATTTTCTCTATTGGAGTATTGTATACTTTGATTTGTATCAGTGTGTCTGTAACCTGATTGGACTGAGATGGTGATCTCTCCCAAAAGTCCGAAGGCTTCCTCCTTCTCCGAACCTGCTGCCACATACTGTTTGACAGAAAGTGTTGTTTCTCGGCAGCCCACTAACTGTCTAGCGGCTGTTTGCACCAGATTTCAGCCACCATCACTCCCCTCTCTTTCATTACCCATCCTACAACTCACCTAACCCTTTTTTTGTGTAATCACACACAATCAAGGAACCCAAAAATGGTATCATAAAAGCTACCTAATTTAAAAGTCAACCAGACAGACATCTCAAAAAATGCTCAGTTCCTAGAATCCTTAAAACAAAGCAGTCATCTGTGAGCTCTATTGACTCTTCCAATATATAATTTTAACAGTGCTAAACTGAATCTTCATCATATCTAAATAATCTGCACAAAATGGCTTTCTTTCACGTGAAGGGAAGTTAAAAGTGGCAGTGTTAAGGCATTCAATAATAGAAAGATATTACAAGAATAACATAGCACCTATTCAGGCTTTCCAAGGTTATAAAAATTAATCTCAAAAGCATCGACTTAGCTCTAATATGCAATTTACTTTCCTGAACCACGTGCTATAATCTATGAAGCAAAAAATACCTTTTAAGGTGTTTTAACATAGCTGTTATAAGAAATCATGTTAACCGCACCATTGACATTTAGAAGTTTCAAACATTTAATATATGAAAATGAGATGTGACAATAAATTGACATTTTAATAATTGTGAATGATAATTTCTATTTGCCTTTTTGCAAATTGTGTGCGCACATAGATATCAATAAGATACATTTACATCATAAAGCCTCTAGTTTGGACAAAGCGTTTTTGTTGGAAGCGCTAGCACAAATGACTAGGTGCAAGCCTCAATATAGAAAAGGGCGTTTGGTTGCATATAAATGTGCACATAATTATGAATTTATAAGTAAGCACAAGTATTTTCTCATGACAAGGGCATATAATGTTTTCTCCTGGCACTTTTTCAAAACTTATATTACTAATTTTTTGGGGCATTAACACAAATACCACCCAATTTAAATGTATTTACATATCTAGCACCTACACTTTACTTTTTACAGTTACGCCACCCAAATCTTTCATATCAAATAAAAAAATACCAGTATTTTAACTTTTAAAAAGTGAAATACACCCTTTAAGGTGGCATATATGTAAAAAATTGAAGTTTAGATGTTAGACATGTAAATACATAAGAATTGAGTGGTATGTACGTAAATCTTTCTAATTTTTAAGTAATCAAAACAAACCTCAGGCATGATTGCTACAGTTGCAGTAGAAGTATGCACACGGCCTTGTGTTTCTGTTTGGGGCACACGTTGCACCCGATGAACGCCAGATTCATACTTCAATTTACTATAAACGTGAGTTCCTTTAACTTCCATTACATATGTTTTATACCCACCTTTCTCAGCCTGAAAGTGTGTTTCAGTTAGAACTTAATTCATATTATGATTAAATATGGGCATAATAACCTCAATAGAAGGTACCTCTGAGCAAGAAATAGTCGTGTATTTCCACGAATTGCGCTCCGCATACTTCTGATACAAACGCACCTTTATAAATATTAAAAATTACAGTTCAATCTGCAGTTATCAAGAGAAATCAATACAAAATACAAAAAGCATACCACCCAATTCCTGTGTAATGACATAGCTAACACAAACTTTACTATTTACATTTATATCATCTAAGAGTTTCATATCACATAAAATATATCACTATTTCAACTTTTAAAAAGTGAACTACACCTTTTGATGCATAGGTAAGTGGTTTATATATAGAAATTGAAGTTTAAGTGTTAGACATGTAAATACATAAGAATTGAGTGGTATGTATGTCTAAAAGATAAAACAGTGGAAGATACTCTCAAGAGTTTTCTCTTTTCTTTTTACAAGAAGGGAGATATATATAAATTTCTCATAGACATTACAAAATAGGAATAAAACTAAAATAGGACAGAAAAATAAATAGGGGTTGTAAATCCTTTAGGAAAGCACATGGAGAAATCTAATGATATAGAACCTTGATCCGTATGCCTTAAGTAATTTGTTATGATTGGATAAAAAATTCAAAACTACCCCTCAAACAAGATGGTAGAGATCTACCCTTCCAAATTTGTGATACGCCCGTGCCTACTTCAGCCGACTGCAAGGCCAACCTTGCAATCGAGTCGATCCAATGAAGACCAGTCTAGACCATGCAGGCAGGATTCCCAGAAGGGGCTGAGGGCGATTCCAGAGCTCGGGTGGGGCCCATTTTGTCACTAATCAAGAACAAGAGAGGAATCAAGGGGGTTTTGGGGGGTAAGTTTGAAAAGGATCTTTGGGAGTATTAACTAGTGCTAATGAGCTAGGGTTTGTTTTGATGTTGTGTTTGTTACAGTTATTCTTTTCTCGTAATGTTCCTAGCAACCTCTAAGATTTGTGGAGAGACAACCTACCTCTTGAAAAGTAGATCAATATTGTAACTTATTTGATTTTGTTGGTAAAAGTAAAGTCAGCCCTCAACGAAGTTTCCCCACCTTTCTATTGTAAATTATTCATTTTTTGTTCGTTGTTTTTAGTTATGGATAGTATCAAATAGGTATCAGAGAGATATTGAAAGAATGACAGAAAAGAATATGGATATGTTAGAAGGGGAAGTTGGGCAAATCATATCAGAATTGAAAGAAAGGTTTGTCGTCATAAAGGAGAGGTTTTCTTCCATTGAGAACTGAATGGAGAATCGATTCGAGTGCATGAAAGAAATTTAAGAGATGATGAAGAGGCTCATCGAGATTTCGTCCAAGACCATGTCGACCGCTCAAATTGCAAACCATAACCAAGGGTTAATCAAGAAATCCTCAGCCAAATCGAATGGGAAGGCGATCAAATGAAAGGATATTGAGAAGGAAAGCATCTACCACCAATAGCTTCCCCCTAGGACTCCGAGAAGAGGGAATCCAATGGAGGAGGGTGGGTCGAAGGTTGGAGGAGGGGCGGTGCAATGAGCACGAAGGAGCACAACAAATGAAGAAGAGAAGCGGGAGGGGGTATGGCTATGACCAAAGGAAGGAGTTTTACATATGAGGAAATGTCAGAGGGCGAGGAGGCAATGTGAGAGTAAGGAAACTAAAGATGTCGATCTTCGAAGGGGAAGATGCACATGAGTGGGTGTAGTGGGTGGAGAAATACTTTGCAGTAAAAGAGTTGACGAGGGAGAACAGCTCATGGCGGTAGGATTATATTTGGCTCTATCATGGTTTCAGTGGATGGAGGCAAAGTATCTAATACATTCACGGGAGAGTTTAAAGATTGCTTGTTGGAACTTTCCTAGGTCATTCGTGGAGGCAATTCCATGCTTTGATTCGAGACGGGACGGGACGGTCACGAAATACTGGGAGAGATTCGAGCTCTTGCCAGAGTGGCTAAGGGTTTTTTCTGCAATAGGACTGGATGAGAACTTCTTGATGGGCCTAAAGCCTGACATTTGAGATGCCCTCCAACCTTTGAAACCACGGGAATTGAGAGAGATGACGGAGCTCGCTCAAATGGTGGATGACAAGAAACAGGTAAAGAAGACAAACAAAGGCGGCACCACAGAGGGATTTACAGGAGTGCCTCGATGGCCACAACACTGAGGATCTAGACGGTGTTGTTTCATCAAGAGATGCCAAATGAGAAGAGTGTGGAGATCTGTCCCGGGGGAAATTTCAAGCACATCACTGATGCAGCAGTGCAAGATAAAATGGTGAAAGGATTGTGTTTTTGGTGTGATGAGAAATATGCCCCAGAACACCATTGCAAGGAATGTGCGCTTCAGGTTCTTGTAGTCCATGAGAGGGAGGATCCAAGTAGTGATGAGTCGGAGGAAGCCACAATGGAGGAAGAGGAGCAGTTGCACTTAGATGTCACAGAGGTGTCCCTAAATTCAGTGGTGGAATTTACTCTGAATCACACTAAGAAGGCGAGGGGTCAGTGAATAGTGGGGCCACAAAATTTCATCTTAAATCAGGTCCCGGATCAGCTAGGACTGGAGCTAGTAGACACGGGAAGCTATAGTGTCATGATGGGGATAAGAAAAGTGAAGAAAAATCAAGGAATTTACAGGGGATTAGTTCAGACAGTACATGACCTACAGGTGGTGGAGGACTTCCTTCCATTGGACTTGGGCAATAGATATGTGAATATGGGGATGAAGTGGCCACTAACGCTTGGGGAGATGAAGGTGGACTGAAAATCACTGATGATGGAATTCTAGGTGGGGGGTAGAAAGGTAATGTTGAGAGAAGATGCTAGTTTATGCAAAACCATGATCTCGCTCAAAACCATGGTCAAGTCGATACGGGGAGCAAAGATAGGCTATTTGGTGAAGTTGTAGAGCATTGAAAAGATCTGAGATCTCAAGCCGGTGGACTTTTCCGAGGAGGTCCAACAGCTCCTACAGTAGTTTACTAACATATTTCTGCAGTCGGGCGAGTTACCGCATCTGAGAGACCACGAGCACGCCATTACAATAAAGGATGGTGTCCCCCTATCAGTGACAGACCATACCGACATCCTCAAATTCAAAATAATGAGATAGAGAAGTTCATCTAGGAGATGGTTGAGGTTGTGATTATCACGCTCAATGTGAGCCCTTTGGCTAGCCCAATCTATCCTATTGGTGAAAAAAAAAGATAGTAGTTAGAGGTTTTGTGTGGACTACTGGGCTTTAAACAAAAAGATTACGTTCCTATCCCTGTGATTGATGAGCTGCTATATAAGCTTTATGGGGCCGTCATCTTCACGAAAATCAATCTTAAGTCCGAATACCACCAGATCAAAATGAATCAAGCAGATGTGCACAAGATAGTGTTCATGAAACACGAAGGACATTATGAGTTCTTGGGATGTTGTTTGGCCTCACCAATGCCCCAGCAACATTTCAATCCCTTATAAATAGGGTTTTCAGCCGTACCTCTGGAAATTCCTCCTGTTCTTCTTCGATGACATTATCATCTATAGTTGTATAGACACAACATATAGAACGAAGAACAGTTTTGGAGATGTTGAGAGAGCACCAATTGTACGCCAACTTAAAGAAATGTTCATTTGCACAGTTACAGGTAGAGTGCCTAGGGCACGTGGTGACCTGAACAATAGCAATTGATCGGTTCAAGATCTAAGCTATGGTGGACTGGCCATTAACAATGAGCTTGAAGGAGTAGAGGATTCTTGAGTCTCACCGGATACTACCGAAAATTCGTGAGAGGATACGGCATAATATCAAAGTAAGACAATTACAAGTGGGGGGAAGTGGCAACACGGGTATTTGAACATCTAAAAAGGGACATGACCATCATCCCGATATTAGTATTTCCAGATTTCAGTAAACCCTTTGCAGTGGAAACAGATGTGTTAGGATATGGATTGGGAGCGATGCTCATGCAAGACTAGTAGCCGATTGCCTACTTATGTCAGGTGCTCATAGTTAGGGAGAGGTTCAAGTCAATACACAAGTACGAATTGATGGCTATTGTCTTAGCATTCAAAAGTATTGACCCTACCTGTTGAGGTGATATTTTATAGTTAAGAAAGATTAGAAGAGTTTAAAATATCTTCTGGAGTAGAGGATGGTGACTGAGGAGAGCATCCAAGATAGCTATCCAAGCTACTGAGATATGATTTCGATATTCAATACCAATTGAGATTGAAGAACAAAGCCGCAGATACATTGTCAAGAAAGGTGGATGAACCCTTGCTGGCAGCCTTATCGGTACCCATGGCTCTAAATTGGAATGTCGTAAGACAGAAGACCAACCGCGATGAGGGGCTGAGAAAAATACGAGCAAAGTTACTACAAAATCTAAATAGTCATCCAAGTTATGCATTGTGGGGGCAGTAGCTACTCCACCAGGGGCGGTTCGTGTCACAGAGAGCATCAAAGTAAATCTCCAAACTATTGCAGGTGTTTCACGGTAGTGCAATCGGGGGACATTTAGAGGTACAAAAGACCTACAGTCGTTTATCGACAGATATTTATTAGGTGGGAATGCGCAGAGACGTACAGGTCATAGTAACACGTGATATGTGTCAACGACACAAGTACTTGATCATGGTGCCGAGAGGGTTACTATAGCCTTTAGCCTTACTAGATGATGTTTGGGAAGAAGTGATGATAAATTTTATAAAGTGGTTGCCATGATCAGAAGGGTTTACGGTGATCTTGGTGGTAGTGGAAATTCTGAGCAAGTATGTGCATTTCATTACATTGCAACACCCCTACACTGCGGTCTAAGTTGCTACGGTGTTCATACGAGAGTGGTATGTTTGCACAAAGTGTTATGATCTATTTTATCAGACAGGGACAAGGTGATCCTCGGCCAATTCTAGGAGTTGTTCAGGTTATAAGGAACTGTCTTAAAGATGAGCGCAACATATCATTCCCAGAACGATGGCCGGATGGAGGTGGACAAGAGAAGTGTGGAGACAACCTCCATTGTTTTGTATCGGATATGCCGAAGCTTTAGGTTGAATATTGATATAATACTTCATACCATACTGCGACACATACCACTACTTTCAAGATTGTG